CGGTGAAGGATTTAGAAAAAAGAGACAAGAGAATGAAAGCTGGGTCTCGGCGAGACGCTGCTTCTCTGATGGAGAGACAGCGACCAGGCCTGCAAGCCAAGTCTTTATTTGATAGCCAGATTCCACGAGGCAAAGTAAGAGCATGGTCAAGATGTTTACAATGTTCTAATCTACTCAATTACATGCACCTGAACTCTATCAAGCCCACGTTACTCAGACACGTGGGGCCACGTGTTCGGACCATAGGTCCAAGCTTACAACTACAGCTGTTGGCTATAATTGTGCTGGGAGGGCTCTGCCCTCCAAGCTGGGACTTGCATGTGGCCATGAGAAGACTGTGCCCTCTCCTCAGTCCGAGGCTTGAACCTGTCCAAACACTGTACCCGCTCTCCACAGGAAATAGCCCTGGATACCCAGGGACACCTGGCCTCTCCTCCCAGGTGTCCCTGACACCAGCCTCACTCCTCAGGCTGCCCCAGCGTCACATCAGGAAAGCACACCTGATCAGACGGTTCCCCAGCCACACCCCCGAGGCCCAGGATTCCTACAATGGCCCAGGCAAGGCCTTCTCAGTGCCGTGGCCCCAGAGCCCCAGGGTCTCCTCCGGCAGTTCCCTTCCGGTGACTCTAGGCTGCCAGAGCACCATGCTTTTCTCCCCTTTACAAACACGCCGTGGCCTCTTGTGCTTCCGGGCCTTTGCATGCACTGTTCCCTTTGCCTGGAGTAGCTTACTGCCACTCATCCACCCAGCCCTAGTCTACCTCAAACTCCTACTCATCCTTCAAGACCGAGCAGGCTAAACCCACATTCACAGGCTAAAACGATCCAAAGGAAATGTAAGATGAGTAGCATTGCTATGACCTTTCATTTTATCAAGTAAGAACATTTTTAGCAACTACTACCTACTGTTATCATTACTTCATAAAAGAAGACATTTAATTTGAAAAAAGATAGGAATAATGGCAGACATGTAAACCAAGTAAATCTGTCATTATGAGAATCCTTTTTTTTTTCTTTTTCATCTTACTGGTGACTGGGAGGCCTGGTCCCCAAACCAATCATTGTACCCCCACGGCTGTGATGTAACACTCAGTAGCCTGGGTGTGAGCAGACCCTCCCTCCACAGGAACCGGACCTAAAGGCTGAGCCAGAACCCCAGAGCCCAGGACCCGCTTCATTCTGGGCCTTATTAGCCAGGCCCACACGTCAGAGGCAGCTGATTCCCCTGTTGACATCTTGCAGTCAGCCTGATGGAGACGCGAATATAAATCACCAAGACATTCTGTGTGTGACTGCAGAGTGCCCAGGCCCCCTGCCCGCTCCTTCGCCCCCCGCAGGGATGAAAGCCAGGGCTCCTGTGGGACATCACAGGGCCCTCCAGAGAAGGTGAAGGAAGGAGAACAAAAATTTGCGTGCATAAATGCTCCCCACCTGGGCTCAGCCAGGAGCTGCCACTCGCCTCAGGCAAACACGGCTGGCCCTGGAGGCCCAGAGCTTGGGCAGTCCTATCTGCTCACAGTATTCTCACCAGGGAACGTGATGTCCCGAGGCTGGGCGGGACAGGCCAATGAGATGACATGAGTGTAGGAGGAAAGCCAGCTTGTTTGGGAAAATTATTGACGACATGCTGGCAAATAAATCCGTGTTCGATGGGTAGGCAAGAGCTACTTACCAGGAGCACAGTGGGTTTTTTGTATGCAAACAGATGCTCCTGAAAGTAGCTTGAGAAGCACTTAAAACTGATTTGCTTAAATAAATCAAGCATTCCCTCATAACCTGATCTCCATCACTGCATAGCTCCTGCAAGCCGCTCTTCCCCACAGATAATGCGCAGCCTGTGTTCAATTTTCAGCACCACGAAGTACTGGGGTTTTACTGCGCAAAGGTTGTGGCAAGATTTCCTAGAGAAAGATTAGGCCCAGGGATTTTCTTCTTCCTGCTACTCATGAATGTGTAACAACGTGAAAAAGCTGAAAAGAGCACTTCCCCTCTCCTTCCCTGGTGCCACTGAACCTTGCCCTTGCTCTCCGTCAGGGTTGGACGCTGCCGGCCCTATGTTTGAAGGAGCTTCCCCCAACGACCGTCTTTCACCAGATGACGCCAATTTTGTGGACGCCATCCACACCTTCACCCGGGAGCACATGGGCCTGAGTGTGGGCATCAAGGAGCCCGTCGCACACTATGACTTCTACCCCAACGGGGGCTCCTTCCAGCCTGGCTGCCACTTCCTAGATCTCTACAAGCACATCACCAAGCACGGCCTAAATGGTGAGGAAGGAGACGCGGCCAAGAGCACTGGCCTGCACTCCCTACGCTAGCACGGGGCCTCTGGATCCAGTGGAATCCACCCACTGTGTGGATTCTGGGAAGCATTTGGCAAGGATGGGGGCCCCGGGTGTGTGCTCACCAAGTCCGTTCAGAGGGGGGCTTGTGGCAGTGAGTTCCCCCAGCAGCCCCTCCTCTTTTCAGACAGGGGTCCTTGGAGCCCAAGCTCTGAGGATGAGCTGAGGGCACCACCAGGAATCCCCACCCTGACCCCCACGCGGTGCAGTCTCTCCTGGGGTAGGTAGTGGTCCTTCTCAAAGTGGAGTCCTGATGCCTGTGGCTATTGTACCTTCTCCAGACCCTTCCTCGCTCAGGCGGTTTCCACTGTCCTGGCTCCCATGAGGATCCACACAATAGACGGGACTTCCTGATCCCTGGTCTCACAGAGTGGGAATCCTCCTCCCACCCGGTGAGGTTTCATCAGCCGGTCCTCCCGGACAGACTGAGATTCTTCCCGTTCAAAGTTCAGCTCTAAATACGTCCTCATGACTTCCCGTAGCTCAGGGCGAGCACCGACTGTGGCGTCATCTGGGTTGTGAGCCCACGTCTCTCTCAAATCCAAAACATTGACAGGTACATTGATAACAGGCACAGGATCAAAACACAAAACTGACAGCAAATACCACACTTTCTATAAACATTTCAAATTTCTCGTTATTACAAAATATTATCCTAATTAAAGCATGCCAGCTCACTGAAAGCCAGCTGGCGACGCCCACCGCCGCACACCACTGTCTCACCCCGATCATCCGACACCCGCTGAGAACACGCTCTCTGTGAGTGCGTCACCACCACCTCTCCCATATCAGGAGGACCTTTACATTCGACATTATCTCATCTTGGCCGGACGCCCGGCCTTCCAGCCGCCCACGCCTGAGAGAACCTTCTGGGCACTTCCCGTGCCATTCCTTACATCCCCCTGGAGTCATCGCCCCTCCACGCTGCCTGTCCATCCAGCCCTCCTCCCAGGCCCACACCTCCCAGAGTTCAGCACAGACCTCCAGGATGGCGCTTAGTAGCTAGCAGCCCAGGACGTGCCTCCCTGACCAATGAGTGCTATTGGCTCTTGTGTGCTAAACTCCAAAGTGATGGGGCCGAGTCCATTTACTTAGCTTGCCTATCCTCGGCGTGGTTCTTCTCCGTGTTCTTCATCCTTGTGTTGGGAAGTGATCCCATTCTGGGGTGGTTCTCACCACCGTCGCTGGGCAGAAGGGAAGTTGATTGCTGCTTTACCATCCTCACCGCCTGGGTGAGGCCAGGTGAGCTCGAGGGAGTTGCTGAGTGTCTTCACTGGTAACAGCTGCCTCGAGGAGCTGCGTGCAGATGCAGGAGTAGAGGCAGGAACTGTGTGAAGATGCAGGGAGCGGATGAGCGGGGGCAGCCGCTAGGGACCAAGAACCGAGGTGACGGCTCTTCGGGAAAGAGCTTTGGGCAAAGTTCCCTGTGCTCCGCCTTCCCATTAGGTACTTCCCATGCCTGGTGGTGGCTCCTCAACACTCTTGGAGCATCATTTACTAAAGATGAGGTTAAGATTTGGAGACTTCAGGGGAAGAAAACAAAAGGTAGCGAAACCTCCTAAGCTTGCTGGAGGGGTTAGGGCCGGAAGGACCTGGTCCCTGGGCTGTGTTCTCTGGAAGCCCATCCCCCAGCTGGTGTCCCAGGCCAGTTACCCAGGGACGCAATGGCTGTTTCGGGGCAGAAGGGAGACCGTCAGAGGCCTGGGCTCTCAAAGACCCTTCCTGGAGCCACTAGCGCACCCAGCCCTCGTTTCCCTCCCTTTAGTTAACAGTGGTTCTCAACCTTCTGGCCCTTTAAATACAGTTCCTCATGTTGTGACCCAACCATAAAATTATTTTCGTTGCTACTTCATAACTCTAATGTTGCTACTGTTATGAATCATAATGTAAATATATATGCAGGAAATTATTTTCGTTGCTACTTCATAACTCTAATGTTGCTACTGTTATGAATCATAATGTAAATATCTGATATGCAGGATGGTCTTAGGCGACCCCTGTGAAAGGGTCGTTCGGCCGCCAAAGGGGTCGCGACCCACAGGTTGAGAACCGCTGCTTTAGTAAGAGCAGCGGCATCCCCCACAGCCTTTCCCGGCCAACTCACCACCGAGGCATCAGCATGTGCGTTTTCAACCACTTTAGAAAGAAATGTTTCCAGGGGAATTACACGGTCCTGCTTGCTTAGATAACCTGATATTTTCTTAGTGACTTGGAGTTCCTTTCAAAACACCTACCGTACGTAGCACGCTGTGGTCTCGCGGTGCCGGGGACCAGGCCGCCGCACTAAGCGGCTGAGACGGGTCTCCTCTTTCTGACGTTTTCGGCCACTTAAGACATGACCCACTGACAGCGGGTCGACCTCAGCAGCACCCCCTCCCCGTCCTCACGTGCTGCTCCTCTGCCCTGAAGGGGCGTTGGATTAAAGGTGGCTAACGTCCCTCTTGCCCTGTGTTCCAGCCTTCACCCAGACCATAAAATGCGCCCACGAGCGGTCGGTGCACCTCTTCATCGACTCCTTGGAGCACCCCAACCTGCAGAGCACGGCCTACCTGTGCAGCGGCATGGACAGCTTCAGCCAGGGCCTGTGCCTGGACTGCAAGAAGGGCCGCTGCAACACGCTGGGCTACCACATCCGCCAGGGCGGGCAGAGCAAGAAGAGCAAGCAGCTCTTCCTGGTGACGCGAGCCCAGGCCCCGTTCAAAGGTGAGTGCGGGCCCCGCAGCCTTCGCGCTACCTAAGGGCCCAGAAGTTCCCCCAAGTCCTTTCCTGGGATGGCTTCCGGTTCGGTTTTAGTGTTTCTGAAACTGCACAGATTCCATGCAGTGATACTGACAAGGCCTCGCTCCTCCCAAGAATGTGGCCACCGTGCTGCCAAGTGCTAACAGAAAAGCCTGAATTCTTTCTGGAACAATCCGTGCTGGTGCTCCAGGCCCGTTACCCGAGGGTTGGCCTCTCTTCACCCATTGCCAGGGTGCCCTGAAGGTCTCATTGTTACAGGGACCGGGTGGTGTCTCCAAATCCTGGCTAGGACCCTGTGCTTTCCTCTGCTCCTGGCCCCCATGGGGAATACAGCTCCAGGCTACATTTGTGGCTCCTCTTTTCCCCAAAAGTTTGAATTAGCTGATGTTACAGGAGATCATGGCCCTGTCAAGGCCTTGCCAAGATGAATTTCAGCTGCCAATGTTTCCCAGTCAGACCCTCACCTCGGGCAGAAACCAAGCCCCTGCCCTTCCCTGGGTTGAACGGGAGGTCAGAGAAAGGGCTGTGGCCACGGCTTGGGCTGAAGCCAGCAGAGAAATACTCCAATGAAGCCTACATTTTCCTGGAGGGAGCCAGGCGACATCTGTTGCCATTCACATTTCTGCCTAATCCTTAAACCAGCTCGTGAGTGAGTTAGCTCATGCTTGGGGGGGGGGGGGGGCTGTGTTGTGTTGTTTGATTGCTTCCATGCAGATAGTTGCTCCTGCAGAAGGTGAATGCACCATCACATCATTTTGCATTTGCACAGCATCTTATGCAAAACATGAGATGCAGCCATGGATTCCTTGTGGCTCCCACATCAGCCAAGCAAGTTGGCCAGGCTTGTTGCTATATGTCCCCTTTTAAAAGGAGAGCAAAACCCTGATGGGGCGATCTGCCCACAGCCTGGAGGGAGGCCTAGCACCAGGCACATCGGCTCCCAGTCCAGACCTCCTTTTCACCCCCAGGCTCCCAAGTTCAAGCTCCCGGCCACTTATTTTCTAGGCGCAGGATTCCTCTGTTTATCTGGACTTGTGCCCTCCAGTTAGATTTCCCTTCCCTGGGCCAAGCCAGCCTAGGAACCACAGAAATCCGCCGTGGGTGGGTGGTAGCTTCTGAGAGTACTTGGGTGAGGACAGGATCTTTCCCACCTGAGGGCAGAGGGTCCCCCCTGCGGCCTATGCCTCGAGGGTGGAGAGGCCTGTACCTGGGAGCAGATGAGGGAACGTGGAAGGCCTCCTGTTTCCGGGAGCTCCCCCGCCACAGGCCACAGGGTGCCAGTGAGACATCCGTTTGGATTAACCAGAGTTGCGGCCACAGGTAAACCAAGTGGGGGGAAAGGATTGAGAAAAGACAGACAAGAGAATGAAAGCTGGGTCTCGGTGGGACGCTGCTCCCTGATGAGGAGACAGCGCCAGCACCCACAAGCCGTGTCTTTATTTTATAGCAGATGCCACGAGGCAAAGTAGGGGCGTGGTCACGTTGTTTACAGCATTCTCGTGAGTTCCAACCTCACTCAACTATATGCACCTGAACTCTCCCACAAGGCACGTGTGGCCACGTGTTCGGACCATAGGTTCAAGCTTACAACCACAGCCGTTGGCTATAATTGTGCTGGGAGGGCCCTGACCTCCAGCTGGGACTTGCACGTGGCAATGAGAGGACCTTGTCCTTTCATTAGTCCGAGGCTTGAACCTGGCCAAAACACTGTGTCTGCGCCCCATAAACCAGCTCATCTTTTACACAGCAAAGCCACCCGGAGTAATTAAGCCTCTCTGATCATCACCGTTCACTGGCTCTACTTTAATCCCGGAGTGCTAGCATTTTGAGGGACTGTTCAACCCGCCCATTTCACAGACAGGTAAACCGAGGCCCAAATGGGGGATTCATTTGCCCAGGATCACCCAGTGGATCCTTGGCAGCGCCAGCATTCAGACCCAGATCTCCCAACAACTGCTGAGTGATTGTCGTCACCCCAGCAACCTGCCCTGGTCTGCCTGTGGGGGTGACCGAGGCAGGAGAGGGGGGGCGCTGCTTTCTTCTTGCAATCAGCTGGGAAGAAGGGTCATTTTCTGCTTCCAGGGCTGGGCTGTGCGTGTGACGTGAGGAGCTTGGCCCAGCCTGAGGAGATCTGCTTGGGGCCTGGAGGTGGGGGAGGGAGAGGAGTGTCCACAGAAGGGCGAGGGGAAGAAAGAGCAGCAGCACAACCAAGCTGAGCTCCTCCCTTCACCAAGGTCCCTCGTGCTCGACCACCCCAGGCTGCGGTGTGAGCTCCCTTCCTATTAAGGAGGCCCAAGAATCGCATGGGGGCAGCAGTACTCTCACAGCAGCTACCCAAACTGATGTGCTCACTTACTCATTTCTTCTTCAAACATTCCTTGAGCCAGGCAGGCAGAGTCCCTGCCTCAGAGGGACAGGGGGAGACCAAACCCCGCCACGCGGCATGTGCTCAGTGCTGTCCCAGGAAGACAGGCCAGGAGGGCCCTGGAGACCACACTCGGGTCTCTTTATTACCAGCTGCCCATATGGATGCGAATCGGACCTACAGGGCCGGTGATCCTGGAGGCAGGGCTGCCTGAAGCTGGTAGAAGCCAAACCCCCAGCCCCTGACCGAGCTTCCAGTGATACACTGTGGCTGCTTGGCCCCTCCCCTCCTCGGGCCCTCCAAACCCTCCCCAGTTCTGCCTCAGTCCTTCCGGTGCGCAAGTCCTAAACCCCTTATTGGGATCCCACGCGGGTGAGACTCCGCCTGTGTGGGAGCCGGCTCACCGGTGCTGCAGTCAGTGTAACACCGTCATCCAATATGGCCGCCGGCAACCACACGTGGCTATTTAAACTATTTGCATCAAATTAAATAAAAAAACGTAATTCCTCCATCACCCTTGACACCCTTCAAGTGCTCAAGTGCGTGGTGGCTGGAGCAGAGAGCACAGACGTAGATCCCATCACCACAGAGAGTTATGGCCGGTGCTGGCAGGAAGCCTGTAATCCAAGCCACCAGAGCTGCACCCTTCCCCACCCACCGTGGCCACCATCAGCTCTGACTCAGGCCCCCAAAGCTGAGTTTCACTGTTTCGCTGGCCGCCTCCAGCGTCTGATGAGTGGGTACCAATTCGTGAAAGAACAGACTTGCCCAGCCCCGGTTACAGAGAACCCACAACCCGTATTCTTCCAGGACATCTAATTGCACTATACATTTTAGTGCGGGGTCTGGCTGGGCAAGATACAAATCGCCTCCTGGCTGTAGCTGCACAGAGGATGACTAGCTAGGCCCTCGTTCCTCTGGGTCCCAAAATATTTCAACACAACCATCAAAGGATCTATTTTCTGCAGCCGTCCAGCCGTCCGCCAGAACTCGGGAAACACTGGGAGAGGACAGCGTGGCAGGGAACTGGGGAACAGGAGCTGAGTGGAAGGAGGCGATGTGTCACCCACTTCCCTTCTCACTCTCAGGAGGAATCTTTACCAGCTTGGAGCCAGTTTTGTAAGAGAAAGGGAGGGAAGCGAATCCGAGTTGAGGAAATCCTCCTTGTATCTAATTAGTCCTGGCGGCAGTCAGATGAGGCAGAGCGCAGAGGGGAGGGGAGTGGCACCCAGGGGCGCCCTGTCCAGGCTCCATGCGGGATGTGCGGCACAAGTGACCTCGTTTATTCTTTAGTCCTCACGACGACCCAGAGCGACCGACCGAGAGATAGGTGACAGGCAGAGACAGGTGGGTGGGGACGGTGATTGATGACTTTTCCAATAAATAAATTGAGTTTCAAAGAAGTTAAATCTTCCCAAAGCATATCATTGTGAGTAGCACATGGCAGGGTTTGACCCTAGGCCTCTGATCTCACTGCCCTTGCCCCTTTCACCACACACACCTCCCCCAATCTCTCGCTCCATCTCTCTCTTCCTATCTCTCCCTCTCTTTCACTCCCTTCCCTCTTTCCTTCCCTTTCCCTCTCCCCCCCCCCTCCATGTCTCTCTTCCTTTCCCCCCCCCCCCCCCCTCCATGTCTCTCTTCCGGTCTCTTCCTCTCACTCTCTCCCCACCTCTCTCTCTCTCCCCCTCCCCCCACCCTTCCTACGCTGGGGGCCCCCATGGAGCGTGGGAACTTGCTTGGATTGCTGCTGCAGCTGGCAAAGCACTCTTCTCCTGGTTGGCGAGATGACCAGCTGTGATGGGGGCGTCTGTGTCTTTGGCTTTTCCCGCTACCTCTTTGGAAGGTGTTCACTGATTTCCAGGCAGAGCTCGGAGGAAGCAGCACAGACAGGAGAGAGAGTGCAGGCTGGGGTTTAGGACAAGGAGTGTCCAGAATTGGTTTTGCTGCCAACCACGTATGTGACCTTGACCTAGTGACAAAACCTCTGCGGGCCACGAAGTGATTGTGTGAATGGGGTGAACCACTAAAACTGGCACCGATGGGTGGGGCTCAGAACCGTGCCTGGTCAGTCCAGCATGTGGGACAGGAACAGGTGTCACTGGGTTAATACCTTCTAGAAGCAGGCACTTCTACACATGCCGTCACATCTGCAACTACCCCGTGAGCGAGCACAGCACCCCTTTTTAAAAGGAGGAAACTGAGCTTCCGAGAGGCTGTGAGAGCTCCCCAGCACGTAGTGGTAGGTGATGAGCTGAACTGCAACCTGGGTGAGGACATGCCCCATGAAACACCACGGCACAAACAGTGGGCAGCAGGACACCAACCACACACATACACATGACACAACATTCCTACACACTCACACACACACACACACACACACTCCCCTATCCTCTTACCCAGCACAAGAGCAACTACCCACAGAAGGAACAAGCATCCAATCTTGTGACATTGGGTATCACTTAAATGGGGGGTTACAGTTAAGCCCAATGTAGTCACCAACTTAAGCGCGCACACACACACACACACACACACACACACACACATGCTAACGCCACCACTCGCCCCTTTTCTTCCTCCTTCGAGCCTGCTCCAG